TGTCATCTCACCGGCCCTCTGATTTTATGAAAGGTGCCTTTTATTCGTTCCTTTCTCGGTCGGCCCTCCTAGAGAGCCACGACGAAATACATGTCCCACTGCCCTCTCTCCCCCACGCACACAACAATCCACTCCCCAGCGTTGGATATTTTATGAATTTAGGAGATGAGAACCTGAATATGAAAATTGATTAAGGTCTATTGGGCGCTTCCCCTGATCCTCAGAGCACCTGCCCTTCCGCGCTCTCACCAGGCCTAATCCCTTCCCTCACCCATCATCGTCTCGTACCGCATCGACCTTCCTCTCTCCCGCCATCCTCGGCCTAGCGTCTACGCCTAATCTTCCTACCTCGCGCACCGCGATCTCATTGCCCTCTAGCCAGTGCTCAGCCTCCGTTTCTGCCTCTCATTTCCTCCTCCCATACCTGCCCTCCCTCGCAATCAGAGACCTTACAGGGCGTCTCCCTCCCCACTGCCGCGCCCACGGTAGGATCCCTACTCCTCTCCTTATCCCCCACACCTTTATGTCGGGAGAAACGTGGTTATGACAGCAGGATAATGCAGACTTGTAAGACAGGGGAAGAACCTTTGGGTATGGTAATCTCCTCTCTCTCTCTCTCTCTCTCTCTCTCTCTCTCTCTCTTCTCTCGCTCCTTTCATCGTCTCTCATCTCCTTATCTCTCTCGTCTCTCTCTCTTTCTACTCTCTTAATTTACCTGTTTAATCTATATTTATACATCTACGTTAATCTATTATCTATCTATCTACCACTTACTTCCAGCCTATCCACTCTAACTTCTATCTCCCACTCCCCCTCCTCCTTTTTTCCCCTCTTCCCCTTCTTCCTCTTCCTCTTTCCATACTTCCCAGCCCCCCCCCCCAACCCCGCCTTTTCGTGACTGCTCTCCCTCGAACCTCCTGACAAGGGGAAATGTTTGCGTTGGCCGGTTTTGTTAGCGACGTAAATGGCAATGCAGTCCGGACGAGGTAGGCTCTGATGTTAGCCAGGGGGAAGAGGTGGGAGGGAGGGAGGAGGAGGAAGGAGGAGAAAGGAGGAGGTTGGAGGGAGGGAGAGGAGGAGGGGAGGGAGGGAGGGAGGGAGGGAGAGGAAGGGAGGAAGGTTGGAGGGAGGGAGGGAGAGGAGAGAGGAGGAGGGTTGAACAGGTGGGAGGGAGGAAGAATGGGAGGAGGAGGAGAGGTGGAGGGGGATTAGAAGGGGGAGGTGGGAGGAAGGTTAAGGGGGTAGGTTGGTAGCTCTTTTGTGTTGTTTTTGTTTTCTTTAGGGGCTTTTGTTTTTTCTGTGTGGTTTGTTTGTTGTTTGACGGTAATGAGCCTAAATGTTTGTTTTTGTTTTGTTTATTTATATTATTTTATGCGTGCGATTTTGAAAATAAAACGCACTTTTATTCACGCTTTGTTATAAGAAAAGGACAAGAGTATCAACGATAAAAAAAGACAAATGTGGAAAAGCAAAGAAAGACTGACAGGTACTCGCACTCCTCGCCCTCCCCCCCCACCTCCCTCGCACCTTCTCCCCCTCCACCTCCCCCACACCCTCCCCGCACCCCTACTTAGGCTCATAAATAAAACGGGTTTCCGCAACTCAGCCCCCTGGACGAAGGGCGAAAACGGAACAGCAGGACGAGGGGCGCAGCTGATGTTTGTGTTTGGAAGGAGGAGAACGGGGCGAGCAGATAAACGATAAAACAGGTGGAAAGAAGAGAGTGAGTGTGTGAAGATTGGGAGATATAATGGATAGCTTGAAAGAGTGAGAGTTTAGAGTGAGAGAGTGAGAAGTGAGAGATGAGAGTGAGTGAGAGAGAGAAGAGAGATGGAAGAGAGGAGATGAGTAAGAAAGAAGAGAGAGAGAAGAGAGAGAATAAGAAGAAGAAGAGAATGAGAAGAGAGAGAAGAAAGAGAGTAGAGAGAAAGAGAGAAAAGAGAAAGAGAGAAGAGAGAGAGAAGAGAGAGAGAGAGAGGAGAGAGAGAAGAGAGAGAAGAGAGAGAGAGAGAGAGAGAGAGAGAGAGAGAGTGAGAGGAGAGAGAAAGTGAGAGCCAGTGAAGTTGAGAAAAGAGAGAAAGAGAGAGAGAGAGAGAGAGTAAAAAGAAAATAGTACACGAAGAAGGAAACGAAGGGGAAAAGGCCTAACCTATTTGGGAATTGAGAGGAGGGGCTAAAAGCGGTAGCAAAAGAAGACTAACAGAACAGGATGAAATATTCCTTTTATGGCATGGGCGAGAGCGAAGCCCTAAGAAAGCCCAAAGAAAGAGCGAGGGCAAAGCAAAGCCAGCTGTTAGTCGCCCGGGCTCAGAGGAAGCAAAAGGCGGGGTATGCTGGCCGTGTTGTGCAAACGGTTTTCCGACTCGGGCTGTACCGTGCAGCGAGTGCATTCGTTTGCGCTGATGGACCGTGGCCTCTGCTTCATTTTTACGTCCTACTAAAAATTGGAGCGAAATAGCTAGCAGCTTTTTTTGTGGTTTATATATAACAGAGGCCGTATAGAATAACCTGATTCAATCTGGGTCTACTTTCAGGTACGTGGGTGAAAAAAAAAAATCGTGCAGTGAAATGTTCTTGTGCCAGGAAATCGAATATTTGTTTACGTTCTGGCGAATCCAATATTTGTAATTTTTTGCCGTCACACCGTGGGAAAATGTCCTTGGAAAAATGTGAAAGAAATGGTTTGCCGGAGCCTCCTCCTGTTATCATTGATTTGTAGATTATTTTGTATCATAGTGACCATCATTATTTTTGTCGTTATTATTGTGATTATTATTTTACACTTAGTTAATTTCACTACCTGTACTAGGTTTTATAAATGGTTCAGGCACAGAGAGATCTGAAGTAAAGACGATAATTTTGATAATTATGATACTTTGATGAGAGAAAAGGGTAAAGTTTCAAACAAATTTCTAAAAAGAATTTAGTATGCAGACGTTGGAAAGGACACATCACGCACACCAACACGACACACACACACACAACACACACACACACACACACACACACCAACACACCACACACACCACACACACACACACACACACACACACACACACACACACACAACTCATTTGTTTATTGATGTATTGTTTGTTTATATATATTTATCTATTTATAGACACCTCTTACTGCATATGCAAGTTTTTTTCTTCTTTTTTTTTGCATGTGACTAGAGACCCATCCCAGTGCAACCGAAGATATGCAACATATACATCAGTGTACAAACAGATATATCAATGAACAATAGCGAGTGTGGGCGTCTGTGAGGAAGACGTCACGAGCGCGCGGGGTGGGCGTGAGCATGTGCAGATGTATTGTCCTCGGGGCGGCGCTCGTTCAGGGGCGTGTGGGCGGCCCTGTGTGTCCTCCATCCTCTTTAAGTGCTGGAGTGGGTGATGGTTGAGAGGAGGAGGAGGAGGAATAGGGGCAGATAGAGGACGAGGAGGAGGAATAGGAATAGGGGCGGATGGAGGAGGAGGAGGAGAAATAGGGCCAGGTGGTGAGGGAGGAGGAGGAGGAGGAGTAATGGGGGCAGGTGGAGGAGGAAGAGGAGGAATATGGGAGGGTGAGGAGTAAAGGATAGGGGCAGGTGAAGGAGGAGGATGGTGGAGTGGGAGGTTGTGTGATGGTGAAGAAGGTGGAGTTGGAAGAGGAGAGTGGAGCATAGGTTAGGTGATGCGAAGGTGGAGGTTGGAAGGGAGAAGGGGCTGTGGAGGCGGAGGGGAGGGGGGCGAGGTTGGCAATTATGGAGGTCAATGGAGGAGGAGGAGGTGGTGGGTGAGGTAAGGGAGATAAGTTTGAGTAGGAGTGGGGTGGGAATGCGGGGGGGCATGGATGATGGAGAAGTGGAAGGTTGCAGGATCGGTAGGAAAGGAAGGAAACGAGAAAGTTGGGGAAAGAAAGAAGAGAGGATGGATAAAGGAAGAGATGGGTAGGAAGAGGTAGAGAAGGATAGGAGGCATGGGGGGTGATAGAGGCATTGAGGTTAGGGTAGGGGGCATTGACGGGGTAGGAGGGACTGAAAGGGTAGGAGGCACGGTTGGGGGTACGAGGCATGGAGGGGAAGAGAAGGGGCTCGAGGGGGTGCGAGGGTGCGAGGCAGGGGGGAGAGGGGGCATCGAAGGGGGTACGAGGCATTGGAGGGGGAGAGGGGGTCATGGGGGGGGCATGGGGGGGCATCGAAGGGGGGTACGAGGCACGCAGGGTCGCACAGTGGCTCCTCCTCATGACGCATGCAGGAGGAGGGCCACTCACGCGCATGGGGTGCCATTACCCGCTGGTGTCAGGGTCACGCGACGCCCACACACGCCGCTGCGGAGGGTCTCTCTGCTTTAACGCCACGCCCGCGGCTCTCTCGCGCCCCTTCCGGGTTACGGAGGGGGGGGTCACGAGGGCGTGGGTTGTATACATCATATATTTTTTTGTCCAGTGCCGCCAACGCGCTCTCTTACGCCCACGGTTCGGGGCACAAGTGTTCCCACGCCCGCGCCAGCCGGAGGGCCTCCCGCGCGGTAGGCGGTCGAATGCCCTTAGGAAAATAGGCAAAGAAAGAACGTTTCTCTTCTCTCTCTCTCTCTCTTCTCTCTTTCTCTCTTTCTTTCTCTCTCTCTCTTCTTTTTCCCTCTCTCTCTCT